TTCATAACTTCTTTGTGTGTGTCCATTCTCTCTTCTGACACTGCCTCCACTCTGGTTCAGTCCCTCATCACCTCACACCTGGACTACTGCAGTAACCTGCTGTTTGGTCTCCTTTCCACATATCTTCCATATTTGAGTTCATCTTCCACTCAGCTGTTAAAGAGATCTTCCCGAAAGTGCAGGTCTGACCATCTCACCCCTCCCTCCCTTCCTCCTTTAATAAACTCTAGTCGCTCCCTATAACTGCTAGGATCAAATATAAAATTCTCTATTTGACATTCAAAGCCTTTCATAACCTGACCCTTTCCACCTTTTCATTTTGTTACACTTTACACTCTCCTACCACCTACTCTGTGACACTGGCTTCCTTGCTATTCTTCACACAAGAAAAATCATTGTCCAACTCTGGGCATTTTCACTGGCTGTCACTCATACCTGGAATTCTCTCCCTCTTTCTCTTCCTCCTGACTTCCCTGGCTTCCTTCAAGTCCCAGCTAAAATCCCACCTTTTACAGCAAGCCCTTCCCAACCTCTCTTTGGAGGATCTTATCTCTGTTAATTATTTCTAATTTATCGTCTGTGTGTGCATGTGTGTGTGTGCGTGTGTGTGTGTGTGTAATCATGTTAATGATAAAACAAACACAGACACCCTGGATCTATAATTTCAATTTACACTGTGACATTCTCTTATCTTATTGTATTTATAACCTATCCTATTAAAAAATTCCTTTCTCATATTAGGGCTAAACACATATGGAGACTATAATTTTGGGTTGACACAGATATCTTGAGTTGGGATTGCTCTAAGTGTATAAAGAGTCTCCTTCAGCTTGTTTACCTCTGAGTTAAAAATTATTTTCTGACTCCCACGCATTCATGATTCTCTGGCTTAATGAGAATAAATAAGCACATGTACAGCTTGATTCTATTTGTTCCTTGTTCAAACCTTTGGTAAGGTAAACCCCATTCTGTTTGTTCTTTGGACAAACCTTTGGTTAAGGGGGAAATTAATTCTGTCTGTTTCTTTGGACCAAACCTTTGGTAAATGGTTGACACAGTATTGAAAGGAAAACTCACTATATAACTAGTAATAGATCCTTCTTTAATATGGTTAATGTTATCTATCTAAAAATCAAGATCCAACATTATATGCAATACAGAATGACTACATGCCTTTCCAATAATATTTAGAATAACTCAAGGATAGTCATTATTACCACTATTATTTGATATGATAACACATAGGAAAACCATAATGATAACATTAAAAAAATAAATTGAGGGAATAAATATAGGTACAGAGGAAACAAAGCTATTGCTTTTGCACAAGATATGATAGTTTTTCTAGAGAACTTTGAAGAGTCAACTAAAATTAATTGGAACAACTTCAACAAAATTGCAGGATATAAAATTAACTACCACAAATTATTCTTTCTGTACGTTAAAAAAAATCTGGTTGGATTAGATAAATAACATTCAAAATAATTACAGAATATAGAACAGTGTCTTCTTACCAAGACATATACTGGAACTATATGAATACAAACACAAAACACTCTTTAGACAAATCCAGAACCAAATAATTGGAGAAATATTAATTGTTCTTGGTTTGGCCATGACAATATCATAAAAATAATAACATTACCTAAATTTATTTATTTATTTATTCAGCACCATACCATAAAGGATTACTTTATAGATCTAGAAAAAGCAAAAACAAAATACAAAATCAAGATTGTTGACAGAAGGCAGAACCAAGAAGTAAGGAACAGCAGGAAGAAGTAGAGTTTCTCAAGACTCAAACATACATACATACACATATACACACACACGCACATACATACGTACATACATACATACATACATACATACATACAGTCGATCCTTCACTCAAGTGTCAAACCAGTTATCCCAAAGCACAAGCACTACCATGTCATTAGCCTCTCCCCCATTCAATAAACTCTGGTGGTTCTCTATTGCTTCCAGGATTGAATACAAAATCCTGTTTGGTTTTTAAAGTCCTTCAAAACCTGGCCCTTCCTACCTTTCCAGCCTTCTTATACCTTATCCACTCCCATGTACCCTGCAAATTCAGTAACACTGTACTCCTTGCTTTTATTTGACCTATTATATGTAAAGCACCATTGGGGCTTATGCAATAATGAAAAACAACCACTTCCCTCAGAAGACTTAAATTCTTTTGGATATTTTATTGGATAAGATTTTGGTTAGTTGCACATCTGAAGATATTATAGGAAAAACTTTTTCAATGTTAAAGCATGCTAGTTTTTAGCTTAGCAAGATTGCTTTTCACCTACAATCAGTGCCTTTTAGTTTAAAATATTTATTCTTCAGTTTGTATCTCCTAAATATGAAAGAACAAAACCAAATAAGTACCTGTCATTTGCTCTATGTTAAAATAGTTAAGGTGTCTGAGATTGTGTTCAATGAATCCATCAGATGAGCAACCCATTAGACTCAAGCTGATGTTCTGTTTGCATATCTTTATGTTCAAAAGAACAAATTACAGATTTAAGATAATTGGATACTCATCGAATTATTTAATGATGCAAAAATTCACCAAGGCTAAGCTATAAAGCTAGTATCTTATCTTCTTAGCTGCAGTTATTCTTTGAAAATATGCCAAACAAGCTATTCCCCAATAGATAGTCAAGGAATATTAACAAACAGTTCTGAAAAGAATAGCAAAGTATTCAACCATATGAAAAAATGCCCCAAATTGCTAATAAAAAGTGAAATGTGAATCACAACAATCCTGAGATTTTACTTCACATGCTACAAATTGGCAAAAATTACAAAAAATGGTAATTGGTAATGTTGGAGGAGTTGTGGATAGGCATACAACTAGTACATTTTTGGTGGAGCTGTGAAATGGTACAATCATTTTGGAAAGTGACTTGGAATTATGCATATAAAGTGACTAAAATGTCCATACCCTTTGAACCAGGGACTCTATTACTACCCAAGGAAGCCATAGAAAGTCCCCATATACACCAAAATATTTAAGCCAGAACTTTTTGTGATAGCAAAGAATTAGAAACAAAATAGATGCCTATCAACTGGCGAATGCTAAACAAATTTTGGTACACAAATATAATGTTACTATACTGTTAGAAATGACATATGTGATGAATACAGAGAAGCATGGAAAGATCTATATTAACTGATTCAGAATTCAGTAAGCAGAGCCAAGAAAGCAATAGACACCATAACCACAACAATGTAAATGGAAAGGACAGCTATATACCAAAAAATCAAAAGTGAATGTAACAAAATTGTAAAAATCCAGCAGGATGTAAACAAAGAAATATGAGAAGATACCACCTAACCCACCCCTCTAAGAGGGAGGGAGGTCCACAGGTGATACATTGCACATATTTTTGGACTTCTTTTCAATATATTAATCAGTTGTGCTTATTTTTCATCCTCTCTACAAAATACCATTTGTTATATGGGTTGGGTCTCTGGGAGGGAAAGAGAGATGGATGCTTGGGATAACTATGGTGATGTAAGAAACAAAATATCAATGAAAACATTTAAAATTTCTAAAAATCTTTATTTGCCCTTTAATATTTTTCATGAGGTGATAGGGATTAGGTAATTTCATAAGTATAAGTAGCTCTAGCTGAGGAACTTCCTCCACCAATGCAACACCTTCTCTGAAACCTATAACCTCAGAGAGTTGCTTGAGATCATTGAGAGGTTAAGTGTCTGGCGCAGGGTCATATGTCAACAATACATGTAATAGATTGGACTTGAATTCAGGTCTTCAGGGCTTTGAGGCCAGGTCTCTATCCACCACACCAGAGTGTCTCTTTATAAGATGATTCACGTTATCATCTTCCATTATTCTTCTCCATAAAGTGTTACAAACGAGTTTATATTATAAAGTGGTATTTTCTTTGGCTGCAGTCTCTACACTTGGCAAGTCAAGTGTCTGCTGACTAAACCTCTTAGGCTCTTTGGGTTTTGTGCTATTACAATTTATTTTCCTCATTTAAACCACTGTATGAAATTGTACTATTTGTCTATGTCCTTTTCCCCCATCATAAATAATTTAATTAAATGTCAGTACAGGATTGTTTTAATTGCATATCTTTAGGCAGCTGGCATAATGGATAGGACACTAGGCCTAGAGTCAGGAAGACAAGTTCAAATCCAGGCACTTAGTAGCTATGTGACCTTGGCCAAGTCACTGAACCTCTGCCTCTGTTTCCTCAACAGTAAATTGGTGATAATAATACCATCTATGTTCCAGAGTCATTGTGAGGATCAAATGGGATATTTGTTTTAAAAAAAATGCTCAGCAGTGTCCACCACATAGTAAGTCCTCTATAAATGCTTAGTTCCTTTCTCTTCCTATATCTTATTTTTAATTCTTTATTCTTTTTGTCTTTGTTCTTTCTGATTACCAGAATGACAGTATGCAAGTAGCTAATCAAAAATTACCCCCACATTAGTAAGGAGTCATTTCCTATCTGTTAAAAGCAATTTCATTTAAAAAAAAGAAAAAAAGAAAATATACTGAACACTGAACTCCTAAATGAGTTTTTAATGAAAAGTTTGTTGTTGTTTTACCCCCTGAAAATCTGTTCTCTTCTTACAAACTAAATATTTTTTAGACCAGAGTTCTTGGTCATCTGGTACAACTACCTTTTCAAAATAAGGAAATTGTGTAACTAGAAAACTGAGGCCTAGAGTTGAGTAACTTGCCCAAGGTCAAAGTAGCAGAGTCTGCCCAATTTGAGCCCAAGTCCTTTGATTCAACTGATCTACTTAGGAGGCATCTTAAAATTCTCAAATCCAATCCCTTCACTTTACAGATTTTACCATGTAAATTCAAAGCCTAAATTTCAGGTACGGGACACCTAAGTGCAGCAGTGTGTGCCAGGCCTGGACTCATCTCCCTGAATTTAAATCTGAACTCAGACACTAGTTATGTGACCCGGGGGTGAAGTCACTTAACTCCGTTTGCCCCAGTTTCCTCATCAATAAAATGAACCCGAGCAGAAAATGACAAACCACTCCATTACCCCTGTCAAGAAAACCCAATATGGTCACCCGGTCAGACACGACTTATCAAAGTACAGTGCATCTTAGGAAAACAACTTTCTGCATGACCCAACAATTTCTGCCAGATCAGATTACTGCAAAAGGCTTATTATCTAAAACGTGTAAAACTGAGCAAAACTTCCTGAAACCCCCTCCACCTGCCAAGCTTTGGGGCTGAGTACACTCACCTGTAAAAGGAGAAATTCAACTAAACGTTTCCTAGATTTACTCCTAGAGCAAAACTATTATTACTACTTTTAACTTCACAGTTATGCAGCTCCCAGAACATGCAAAGTTTCTACTAGTTTGAAAAAACTAAAGTAACTTGTTCCGAAGTTAGAGAGAACCACGCCACACGCGACCTTAAAGATTACAGCAATTTTGTGAAAATGGAGGTGGCTCTTAAAAGAGCCTTTGGGGTTCAGCGTGCAGATTGTCTACTTGGAGCTGGTGTACTTGGTGACGGCCTTGGTACCCTCGGACACGGCGTGCTTGGCCAGCTCCCCGGGCAGCAGGCGCACGGCCGTCTGGATCTCCCGGGACGTGATGGTGGAGCGCTTGTTGTAATGCGCCAGGCGTGACGCTTCGCCGGCGATCCGCTCGAAGATGTCGTTGACGAAGGAGTTCATGATGCCCATGGCCTTGGAGGAGATGCCCGTGTCGGGGTGGACCTGCTTCAGCACCTTGTACACGTAGATGGAGTAGCTTTCCTTGCGGCTGCGCTTGCGCTTTTTGCCATCTTTTTTCTGCGCTTTAGTTACAGCTTTTTTTGATCCTTTTTTAGGAGCAGGAGCTGATTTGGAGGGCTCAGGCATCTTCTTTTTCTAAAAACTCTCACAGTAAATTGGGAGAGTAAAAGTTTCCTTCTATTTATAGGCCCAATATGCAAATAAGGACTCAAGTGCCGGTTCTTTCTGATAGGAAGAACAGTAGCGGTGGCGTCATAAACTAGAAAACTGCATGTAAATGAGCAGATTTTAATTCTATTCTCCTATTGGCTGCTTTAGTTACACAGCTTGGTAGCCAATCAGCTGCTCAAAGTTACTGTCTGAAAACCTATAAAAGGACCGCTATTGACATTTTTTTCACTATTTTGGGGACTTTTTACTTTTAATTTGTGGTGTTGTACGGCTTTCGATTTCTCGAATCCGCTAAGATGTCCGGACGTGGTAAACAGGGAGGAAAGGCTCGCGCTAAAGCTAAGTCAAGGTCCTCCCGAGCGGGCCTCCAGTTTCCAGTAGGTCGTGTTCATCGTCTGCTGCGTAAGGGTAATTATGCTGAAAGGGTCGGGGCGGGAGCTCCGGTGTATCTGGCTGCTGTTTTGGAATATTTGACCGCTGAAATCCTAGAGCTGGCGGGAAACGCAGCTCGGGACAACAAGAAGACCCGTATTATTCCCCGCCACTTACAGTTGGCCATCCGTAACGATGAAGAGCTCAACAAGTTGTTGGGGAAAGTGACCATCGCCCAGGGTGGTGTCTTGCCTAACATTCAGGCTGTGCTTCTGCCAAAGAAGACGGAGAGTCACCATAAAACCAAGAGCAAGTGAAGTAGCTAGGCTCGGGGGCCCGGGAGAAATCTCTGAAACCAAAGGCTCTTTTCAGAGCCACAACAGAACTTCAGAAAGAGCTTGTCACATGTAGCCGTTGCTTGAATGAAAAAGAGATTTAGTAAGGTAAGAAATGAAGACTGAATTATTTTCTAACCCAGTTCAAGTTTGGGAGTGTTAAGGGATTATGCTAAAACTCTACATCTTTTATCTGGTCATTTATTAATCCTAAAGGAAAGTCAAGTTTAAGCCTGTAATTTTACTCTTAGGCCTTGATTTCTTTTAACGTGGGCAGCCAATACTTCCACATTTATACGGAACCGAATGTGACAGAGAACGAATGTTGAGTCGTTAAGCAGGCAGTTAACTTGGGAAAAAAGTGCATTGCATATTTTTTCTAACCTATTATATTGTATTGGCACTAGGGACCATTATTTCTGTTGAAACATTTTCCCCCAGTTCCACTCATTAACTCCCCAAATAAATGGTATTAGCATCTTCCTTACCTTCACTTTCTCAAGCCGTTACTAAGGCAGACATTGGCAGGGCGGCGGGAGGGGGTGGACCTTGAAGACCTGCGCAACCCATATCCTGTACTTGCCTATACTTTAGGCGCTCGGGCTGGGGTGGTGGTAGATATTGGTTGCTTAATAGTACAATCTGCCAGTGCTTGAAACTCCTTAAGGTCCAAAGGTCATGTGTAGGAGGTTCTGAAGGGAAATTCTTGACAGGTAAAAATAGGATTGGGTGTTTTTACTTTTTTTTTTTTTTGGTAGTCGTGGTTAAGTGACTTGCCCAGGGTGACACAGCTAGTAAGTGTTAACGTGTCTGAGGCCGAATTTGGACTCAGGTCCTCCTGAATCCAGGCCCTATGCTCTACTGCCCCTGGGTATTCTAAATAAAATTATGATTAATGACCTACAGATTTTTATACAGACATATGAAGTCCAAAATTTCTTCCGACCTTGGTAGAAACGTTTGTTTCTTGCACCACCCCCTATTTTAGGGTATGCTGTGCAAGAACTACGTTTTCTGAGATGAGCTAAGCACAATAAGGATTTTGACTGAATACAGCCAGTTTAGCAGGAATAGAGCTTAAAATACTCAAGCTAAGAAGTTGAAAACAGGATAGGTAGGCAATGAAAGACTAGGTCTTAGAGGCAGGAAAGGAATTGGGACAGTGTGTTGTCTTCGTAGCTTTTTAACCCATTCCCCTTTCTCCCTTACCTTCAGGATGTCAAGTAGGATGACTGAAAAGTACCATTGCTTTGAGGCATTGAAATGAGAAGTCATTGGTGACCTTAAGACTATAAAGTGGTGGGGATACAAGAACAATTGCAAGATATAAGATCCTACAAATTTAGGACTACTTTTTCCTTTCTTGGTACAACTTTTTCTACTCTATTCCCTGCCAACTTTTGAAATTGAGATCTAGAATTAAGACCCTTGGGAAGGTGAGAATATTGGTTGTTCTGGGTACAAAAGTAGTCATCTCTGAGTCTCAAAGACATCTCTCTGACTGGGTCAGTGACCTGAGCTGAGGAGATCTAGATGTCTTCATTTAGTCATCAAATAAAAAAAAAAGTTGCTTCCAGTTCTACCACTGTATGGCTTTTCATATGCATGATCTTTCAGGAGAGGAGATGGATATTCAACAAAATAGGGGACTTCCATGCCTTCCTGATAAAAAGACCAGAGCTCAACAGAAAATTTGATCTTCAAATACAAGACTCAAGAGAGACATAAAAAGGTAAAGGGGACAGAAAGTAACAACATGTTATTAATAAGGGCAAGCTCTTAACATCCCTGCAAGGGAAGATGACGCTTGTAACTCTTGAGAACTGTATTGTTATTATGCCATGTTAAAGGGGTATACATAAAGGGGGTGGGCATAAATTGACTTTGTAATGAGGAAAAAAATCTAATCAAGTGGGTTAAATGGATCCAAGTAAGTGAATTAATCTGATCTAAGAAAATGTACTGAGAGAAAAGGAAAGGAGGAGTCAGATAAGGGTAAATTACATCACAGGAAAAGGCAAAAAAGCCTATTAGAGCAGAGGGAAAGAAGGGAGGGAGATAAATGTAGTTTGAACCTTACTGTCATCAGATTTGGCTTAAAAAGGGAATAACATAATCAGTTAGGTATGGAAATCTCACATGCCCTATAGGCAGTAGGAGGGAAAAGGGAAAAGAAAAGGGAGGGGGCTAATAGAAGGGAGGTGGGACTGAGGGTGACTGGTCAAAAGCAAAACATTAGTGAGGAAGGAAAAGGAGAAAGAAAAGCATAAGGGGGGGTGATGAAGAGAAAGACATAGTTATTATAATTATGAATGTGATATATGAATGTACTTGAATACTATTGTGCTATAAGAAATGATGAATAGGCAGACTTCAGATAAAACTGGAAAGATTTGTATGGTTCGATGCTGAGTGAAGTGAGCAGTACCAGGAGAACATTGTACACAGTAACAGCCACATTGAGTGATGACTGACTTTGATAGACTTAACCCCTCTCAGCAATACAAGGATCTAAGACATCTCAAAAAGCCCACCCCTTTATGTATGGAAAATGCTATCCACATCCAAAGAAAGAACTGTGGAGTTTGAATGCAGATCAAAGCATACTATTTGCTTTTTTTTCCCTTCTGTTGTGTTTTCTTTCCTCTTTCTGGTGGTTCCTCCTATTAATTCTAATTCTTACTTACATCAGAAAAAAAGAAGCAGCTGTCAAAAAGCCATCTTTTTAAAGTATGACTTTCTCTTGTATTCCATTAACACCTAAATTTTTTCTATGTGATTCTCAATTCCTTTATTTCTTTTTTACCTAATTAAATCCCTTCCTAGTCAGGGCTAAATTGGTATTCAAGAAAGGCTTCACAGTTGCTATTCTGTTCTCTAGGATCTGTTCTAGTACCATGTTTACAACCTTCATGCTTAGCTAATCCACAAATGAGTAATAGCTTGGCAGGGGGGGGGGGATGGCTAGGTTGGCAATGACATTTGTTGAAAGATAATGAGACACTGAAGACCTAAACTAAACACCTGATCTTAAGGACCTTTTTATTAGAATGTCAAGTCCATGAGGACAGGTGCTTTTTTTTTTTAACCTTTACCATTTAGCATAGTGCATGGTGTATAGAAAGCTCTCAAACTTTTTTATATACTTATCAAAAGTATAAGAGGGCATTATTCTATATACAAAAAACTATTTGAAGTGCTTTAACTTTCCCACAATTTCTCTTCCTTTAAAGAAAAAAATCATAATTCATATTTATATTAGACTTTAAGATTTACAAAATACTTTTAGGGGCATCTAAGTGGCACAATGGATAGGGTGCCAGGCCTGGAGTCAAGAAAACCTGATTTCAAATCCAACCTCAGCTACCTAATTGTTATGTGACCTTGGGCAAGTCATGTAACCTCTGTCTGCCTCAGTTTCTTCATCTGCAACATAGGGGTAATAATAACACCTACCTCCCAGGATTGTGAGGATCCATTAAGATTAAAATTGTAAAGCACTTGGCACAGTGCCTAGCACATAGTAAGTGCTATATAAGTAGCTATTATTTTTACTTTTCTCACAACAACCATGTGAAAGAAAAAGTACATGTTTTATACTCTTTGTAGTATAGAGGAAGAAACTGAGGCATAGGAGGTTTAAGGGACTTTGCCTAAGGCCACACGGCCAGAATAAAGCCCTGTGTCCAGATCAACTTTAAGTCAATTCCTGCTTCCAAAAAATCATAATGCACTAGTGAGAGAAGAAATGTAGTGTTGTAGAAAACACAGAGAATACCCAGCATTTAATCCTGAGTGTGCCATATTACCTTAGACAAATTGCTTCACCTCTCTGCAACTTAGCTTCATTATCTAGAAAACAATATGTAGCATAATATAATATATAATGCCTCTAAATCTGTGATTCTATGATCATTACCTGTGATGTACATTGTCTGACTTCCGTACTGTTCATGACACACAATACTCTATTTCCTGACTCTGGACATTTTCACTGCCTGTCTCCAGCCCTGCAACTGTCCCTTCTCATGCTCTACCTCCCTGTTACTTTGTTTCTCTGAAGTCTCAGCTAAGGTCCCACCTTAGAAACCTTCCCCAGTTCTCCTTAATCTTAGTGTCTTCTCTCTGAGGTTATCTTCAGTTTACCTTTACATATATCCCATTTGTGCACAGTTGTCTGCATGTTATTTCCCCTATTAGACTGAAGTTCTTGAGGATGGGGACTTTCTCCTGCCTTTGTAGTCCCTCGCACTTAGCACAGTGCTTGGCATATAGTGGGCACTAAATAAATGCTTGTTGACTTAGTTTGAAAACCATTGCACAAACTCCACCAAATTCTTAGCTCATTGAGAGTGTTTGTATCCCAAACACTTAGGATGTCTGGCACATATAGCAGGCACTAATGAATGTTTATTGACTACCTACCTTGAAATAATGTGTGAAATAATAATGAAATGAAATAATACTTGTATAAAATAATAGATGAATGGGAATTATTCCTATTAGTGATGAGAGCAGAAATGTTTTGAAACCATTCTAATTATTTTTGTTCTTTACAGAGGAACCTGACTTGCGTGGGCACTGGAGGTGGAAAAGTTGGTGAGTGATCAGGAATTAGCCACCAGGTGGCACTCCAAGCTCCAGCTGCATATTTCCTACCACACCCACCCCCCCCCCCATCATCTAAAATGAAGACATTCATGTGGAACCAGCTTCTGGGAGAAGACATTCGGAGTTCTCCTACCACATGGATGAGGAGCAGCCGCTTTGCTTTGGCTGCTAGCTGAGAAATCACATTCTGATGAAGAAGACAACACATAAACAATTAAGAATATTTAAGATAGATATGTGGTAAATGGGAGATAATCTCAGAGATAGCAGAGGGAGATTGTATTCTAAATATGTCCCCAGCCAATGAAAAGATACAACTTTAGAAGATGAAGTGACACCTGAGAGGAATAGCAAGAAATCCATCCAGTTTAACAGAGAATGTAGAGGATGGTCAAGTATAAGAAGACTGGAAAGGCAGGAAAAGAGGCCAGATTATGAGTTTATTTAGAGGATTGATATGGTTAGACCTGGCTTTAGGACAATCAGTTTTCCATCTCAATGGAGTGTGGAGTACTAAGAGATTCAAGGCAGGAAGAGCAACCAGCTATTGCAGTAATCCAGGAAAGAAGTAATAAAGGTCTGTACTGGATTAGTAAATGTGTGAGTGAAGAAAGAGGGGGTATTAAAAAATAGATGATGTGAGAACAGAAATGACAAAACTGGACAAAGCTGAAGAAAATCATATAATCATACTGACTCAGTCTATTACAAATTTTTTATGTACTCTCAACTGGGCATTCACTCAGGCAAAGCAATCCTTTTCTATATCCCTAATTGATTCACGGTCCCAATCAGCCCAGTCACTTTCCCAAAGCTTTATATCCTTCCACAAACCTCCCATAGCTCCCCCTCCACCTACCCTCTGAGCTGAGAACTTTGCCTCAAATTTCACTGAAAAAATTAAAATAATTTGTCAAGAAATTCGTCTTCTTCCTTCATCCTCATCTCAAAACATTCATATGCCTTCTCCCATCATTCCTCCTTTACCTTTCTGTCAACATGAGAATGTCAACCATTCTCCTTGCTAAGGTAAACTGCCCTCCACCCAATTCCTCACTTATCTTCAGTCTTTACCTGTTCACTAGCTGCTTCCCTATTGCCTACAAGCATGCCTATGTCTCCCCCAAACTCATGAAACCCTCACTTGATCTGTTTGTCCCTTTCATCTACCACTAATATCTCTTATCTCTTTTGTGGCTAAACTCCTTTAGAAGCCCATCTACAACTGATATTCCCCATCTTTTCCTCTCTTTAGCTCTCCACTGTCTGGTTTCTGACCTTATCATTCAACTAATACTGCACTCTCCAAAGTCACCAATGATCTTGCCAGTTCTTAATGGCCTTTTTTTCAGAGGTTTTATTAACTTCTTTGTCACCTGACACTGCCAATCACCATTTTCTTCTTTATATTCTCTTCTCTTTAGTTTTTGGAGACACCCTTTTCTCCTGGTTTTCCTCCTACCTAACTAAAGCAGTCCTTAGTTTCCTTTGCTGGATCTTCCTCCAGGTTATGCCCACTAACTATGAGTACCCTCCAGGGTTCTATTCTGGACTCCCTTCTTCCTCTATCCTATTTTACTTAGTGAGCTTATCAACTCCCAGAGATTCAGGTATCATTTTTTTTTTGCTGATGCTTCTCAGACTTACTGATCCATCCCTAACTTCTCTCATGATCTCCAGGCTCACATGTCCAACAGCCTATTAGATGTCTCAAACTAGATATCCTATAGACACCCTTAAACTCAACATGTCCAAAACAGAACTAATTATTTTTCTCCCTAAGCCTCCCCTCTTCCTGATTCTGCTATTACTGTGGAAGATAACTGAGAAAGGAATTTATAATTTTCATATTAATCAATATGATATGTGTAATCAATATACTAATAATTCTATTTTCTCAAAAACTGCATCTTGGGAATCAGAGCTCACAATGCAGCTTAAACTGATGAATCAAAACTCTGATAAAGCTCACAATCACTGGACCTTAAGTGAACCAAATC